CTTTCTTTCTTTCTTTCTTTCTTTCTTTCTTTCTTTCTTTCTTTCTTTCTTTCTTTTTTCTTTCTTTCTTTCTTTCTTTCTTTCTTTCTTTCTTTCTTTTAACGCGCGCACCTATATATATTGCGCAGCTTTTTATGTTTTTCATATAAAATTTAATATCAATGGGAGTAGGTTAAATTTATATTCTTGAAATTATCATAATTATTCTTCACAATTATTTCCTCTAATCATTATTATTTGCTTTTTTTTTCCTCTTCACTATCTAATATTCAGGTTGTATACAATTTTTTTTTAAATAAATACGTATTATAATAATTAGAAAAGTGAAAGCCCCCCCCTTTCCACGTTGAAATATTGGGTCGCTTAATTATTGGACCAATCCACAACAAGAACCGAAAGCGTCGCGTTGCTCCCTAAGCCCAAAGGCATAACCCTGCAATAAAATAAAAGAAATCCGAATAAAATACACGGGGGTGGGGCGGGCACCTTAACTAAATTTTTATGAACTATTCAAAAAATAATAATGCAGCGCCAATTTTGCATATCATTTATGTTGACCACGCATTCATTTAAAATACGCTTCAAAACGTTTTTGAATATAAATCAGCTGATGATACACCATCTTGGTCTCCCATATTAAAGTTTTTATAAATTTTTAAAAAAAATGAATGAATGAATTCGAGCAGACATTTTCTCTGACTCCATCTGATTCTGACCGATTTTAACAAGGCTGTGAACCATCTTTCTAAAAAAAAAGGTTCGGATTTCCGTTCAGTAATCTCTGAACCAAGTTCGGTTGGGTACGGTTCGGTATCCGGAAAATTTTTAAATTTACATAAAATAGACACATTCATATTTTAAAAAAACGATTTCAAAAAAACATGTTTTTTATTATTGAAAATAAAAATAAAACAATTATGTTTTAAATAATTTAATATGTTTTTTAAAATTATTATATAAATATTTTACATGTTATTATATATATATTTTTTCAATACTGTTTCAAATTTTTTTGAACCCTGAACCTTTAAATTAAAAAAAAAATGTTCGAGGTTTTGGTTCAATAAAATATCAGTGTTCGAGTTCACAACCCTGGTTTTTAGTGTTGAGTAATATAGAAAATAATGAGTTCGTTTATGCAAGTATTATTAGTCAGAGGTGGGAATATCAGCAGGCATAGATCGATTACATATAATAACAAATCAACTTTTCCCGCCATTTTGGTAACCCATATAGTAATTATTATCATGTTAAAAACTACTATTAGATTGATAACTTGCTTCCTTATTATCTCGATAATCAGACAATTCTTTAATAAAGTTTGCTTCAGACCTAGGAATAAATTGGCCTCTCATATAAAATGTTTAATAAAGATATGGGCAACCAAAATGGCGTCCCCAGCTGTTTTCGTTGATGTACACTTTTAATGAATGCATCGTTAGTCTAGGTACTATTATATGACATTGATATAGACATACAAGAGTTGGTTTTTATATAAATTTTTAAATTTTATTTCAATATTCACATGCAGAGATTATTATTTTTTTAATGTGAGAAATTTTCTTTTTTCTTCTATCTAAATGGCATCTTCCCAATGATAAGAATTACAAATTGTAGTAACTCCATCGATTTGTAATATTTTATCTCATTTGTGAATAATTTAAAGATTACACGGCGAGATTAGGGTATGGAAATAAAAATGGACATAACGTATAATTCGATACTTTAGAAAGGTTCGTAAATGCGTCATTATATAGTTAACAGTTGTTAAAGCGTCTATATACAAAATATATGGTGTCTGTATCTGGAGATATACTTTTATAAAAAGTATCGGCATCTGATACTATTTTAGAGGTAATATTTATCTATTTTTAGGTACTTTTAAGATACATTTTGATACAATTTAATGTAACGTTTTTTATATTAAAAAAAATGTGTCGATCGATAGCTAATCAAAGGATCTATCCAATTGGAGGTCTACTTCTTAATAGAAGAGTCTAGGCCTTGGGTACCAACACAAAATATCAATATGAGTATCAAATAGAAGTTATTTCAAATATTTTTTGAAATAATAATATTCACTCCTTGTGTTCATGGGTTGGACTTACTTTAGAAGGTGGGTGAGGGGGGGGGGGGGTGGTGAAATAGGTTTAAATAAATAATAAAATAGTTGTGTTGAATTTTATCAGACTAATGATATAGACAAATTAAGCAATTAAAATATTTTTTGACTGAATTTAATAGTATTTACTCAGTCTTAATAGGTTGGACTTGGTCCGGTTGAGGGGGGGGGTAAAAATATTAAGTTTGGGGAGGGGGGGTGGGGTATCACGAATATTTTTATCAATACATATGAGAATTAAATGATAGACAATTAAAATATTTTTTGACTATGATGTTAAATATCACTTTAAGTGGTCGGGCCTTGGCGGTCAAGAATAACACGATATTATAATGGACATTAAATAGAAGGGAATTATTGACCGGTAAACCTGTTTAAAAAATATTCAGTGCGGATCTCGACTTAACATTATTCGCCTAACCTTGCTATATTATATTATATGAATATATTTTTATATTATACTTGTAAAACAAATACTTAGTCATTGTTTGTTGTTTATTATGGTAAAAAGGTTCTTTTGAATTGTAAATTTGAAAATATAATAATAATTATACATTTCTAGGAATAAATCATTCTTTCTTTAGGCTCAATTAGTTATAAAAAATTTAAATCCTTTCCATATCACACGAAATTCTCATTTGAAAGAAGTTTTAATTTTTTTTTTTATTATTTCATTATTTTATCTATCCGTAAGCAAAAAAAATATTTTAAAAGTATATATTAGAAATCTGCAATGGGCACATTTTAATCTATAAGCCCGACCACTTGTTATTTTAAACTTTTCGACCGAACCACTCAGGGTTTTTTTTTATAATATTCACCCTCTCATATATCAATAAATTTTGTTTGATCCGCCCACCCTTCCAATGTTTAAAAAATATTTGGCTAGTTTGGCTTTATATTATAAAATATTCAATATATGCAAGTTTATTCCGCTTATTTTACCCGAAAAAATAGTTAAAATTAACCTGCCAATCGCCCGTCCCCTCTTCATTGTTTAAAGAAATATTTTTTTAGCCCGTCCATCACCCACCATATGTTTGAAAATTTTTTTAAATCTAATACATTGCTTTAAGTGAAGGAAGTTTTCTAAAATTATATTTTGGGTTAAAAATTTTTGTTTATAAACCTTCACTTTATTGCGTCCAATTCTAAGAAGATCCATGACTCAAGTTTTAAAACAAATTAGTGCTTTAAACGAATTATTCGATTTGGAATACGAATAATGATTATGAAAAATTATTCGCCGAATAATTGGTCCGTTCATTATTCGTTCGATCGAATTTTTTTTATATTCGAAAGTATTCAATATTATTTTGTTTTCTTTATGGAACAATTTATTTTATTTTCATTATTTTATTAATCTTTTTCTAATTTTAAAGTAGTTCTATGAAGTATTTTAAAAATATTTGGAATCGATTAGACGACAAATCGACCATATTTTTTATAGATCTAAATACAGCTATAAAGCCATTTATACATTGATATATTAGAGTTTAGTGCTGCCTGAAGCCTGTGGGTAAAAAATATTTTTTGGGCCGGGCCGAGAAACCTTTTCAAAAATTTTTTAGGACTGGCTAGCGCCATCATATATATGTATACTTACTACTTAGTTGATTAAACTTGTACACGTATAGTAATCAGCTGTAGACGCCATATTTTGTGGTCTGCACACAGACTCATTTATTATCTTTTATTATTTATTTTTACTAATTAATAGAATATAATTTTTTTTTTAAACCAAAACGCAAATGCCATTTAGTCAAAATTCCCACTACAAAATGGCGTATATAGCTGGCTCGATCTTTTCACTTTTAAATTCAATTTATTGAATAAACCGTGTCTCTAGATTAGAATATTGATTTTTTTAGATTCTAGCTTCCATTTATTTAGTGACATAGTATCATTTAAAACTTAATTCCCTTTTTTAATCTCTTAAAATGGACACATATTAAAAAAAAAACTATGATATTGATTATTTTAAAAAATATTATTTCTTTATTTACTACTCTACAGGTATTGCCAGATATATGCAAAAAATAATTATTTATCATCTGTTGAAGTAATTATTTCACCTTTCCTACAAATAAATCATCTATCCTTTATCTCAGAAACGAAAGCCAGAATTTTATTTATAGTTCTTATGATCACCCGCAAGCAATATCACTAGTCCATTTTATCCCGTCCCCTTTCTCTAAAAAGAAACGAAATAATATTGGGATTGGCCTTTTTTAAGGATGTTTTCATTCTTAAGATCATACAGAGCTAGCCCATAACATACCACCAGGGGGAGTGAAGTGAAACATATCTTCATAATTTACTCATTTTATTTATACAAATAAATGAATGAATGATAATATAACGTAATTGAAAGAAAATAAAAAAACCTATAAAATGTGTATACTATAAATTTATAACGTTGAAGAAAGCTTTATTTCATCTATCCTTTTTTTTAAAAAACAAAAATGTTAGATACATTAAGCTAGCATTTTTTTTATTATTATACTTTTATTTTATTTTTTTTACGCACGAATAAAAAAAAAAACTTATTTTATTTTTTTTTATCTTTCCGAAAAATAGTAAAAATAAAAATTACGAAAAATAAAATAATAAATTTACAAACGCGGACATTTTGAATATAAATTCTATTTGTTTATGTTTGATTAATTTTTTTTTTCGATTATCCAATCAAATTATATTTTCTTTATTTTTTAATGATTTTCTCGGTATCCTATTTTTGTAATAAATTTTTAAAATTATATACGAGTACTGCTCATTTGAATTCCTTCTCTTCAACGTGATCAGCTAAAACGCTTCTTCCTAATCTTTCTAACGATGGCGAAACGTGAAATGCGAGTGTAAAGGGGTTTCTTAAAAAATGAATTTCTACGATCGCAACGCGGAGAGCCTAACCAATGGGATTGCAGCAGCGAGTAACCCATATAGTATCGCATCATCCCTAACTCCGGCTGCGCCGACAAGTGACCACCAACCTGCTCATAATGGGCATAACGAGATGGGAGATATACTCGAAGCCATTTTCCAGCAAGGAGGCTGGGTGGGCCACAAAGTGCTAGCCCGCAATAACGGTAATTTCGGAAATACTGCGGCCATATCTTCCCATTTCCTCCCCGGCACCATAAAGGCCTTTTCTGAGAGCATTATAAGCGTGGAATGCGACCAAGATACACATGCATATGCGATGAATGGTGACGATACTGAGGGGAAAAAGAGAGTCATTGCCCTGACATACGATTACTCTCACGTCAATAGTCTAGATCTTTACAACTCGGTCGATCTAGTGAGCGATCAGACGCCATCTATAATCGAGCTTTTATCTCTAATACAATCCGGGAAAGGTAGGGTATGCTGCGCGATATCCGCTCCCCTTCGACCTACCCATACCTTCGCAGAAGGAAATCTAATAGCCTTCGACGGAAACACGCTATCCTTCTTGGTTCGCATAGATTCGCTGGATGTTTGGTGCAAACGCAATAGTCTCCGACTCATCAAATGGCCCTGGCACGAGGAACTCTTTTATTATTCGAATCGCATCATCACACCCTTCGCTACTTGTTCTGCTTCGGAAAGCAACGTTCCTTCTAGTTCCACTTTATTGACAATTGAAGAGCCAATACTCGATAATTTAAATAACATGGATAGAAAAGAAATCACGAATAATGATTGTAATCATGATAATCTTGCAACTACCAAGATCATCGATAATGTAGATGGTAGAGAAGAAGCGGTGAACACGCGCGAAGTGACTCCTCAGCCGCCTTACACAAAAGGCGACATTGTGGTCACTGCCCAAGGGGTGCGTAAAAAGTTTAACGGTAAACAATGGCGCCGACTATGTTCTCGCTCCGATTGTTCCAAGGAATCCCAAAGACGGGGTTTTTGCTCGCGCCATTTGAGCGGTGGTAATAGCAATTCTAACAACCCCTCGTCTTATTCTTCTCACTCTTCCTTATCTTCTCCCTTTACCCTATCCAACCTTTCTTCCTCCCTATCCTCCACCCCTTTGTTTTCGTTCCGCACGGATTCGAACCACTCCTCCAATTACTCGTTTTCGCAACAAGTTCAGCACCACTCGGGAGATGGCTATCATCATTTGATCGTGGGTCATACCCATTTCAACCAGAACAGCCAAAACGCTTTATTCCCATCACCCACCCCGCAGAATTCATCGGATTTAGCTCTTAAGGACAGCAGCAGCAGTAAAGAGCTATTTCGTATCCGGTTCGACAACAAATCGATAACGACTTTGGATACCGGTGGAACTGTTCATAACGGGGATCCGATCATTTTTGAGGCAAACATTGCGTCTAGCGTTGAGAACTTTAGATCGGTAGCCTCTATAAATATTGGTGGCGGAACTTCTACCGCTAAATTAACTGACTCGACAGAGCCCTTGGACGATAGTTTAGCTGTCATCGCCACCACCACTAACCACCTTTCATCTTCTCAAACTATGCCTAATAACGAAATGACTGATCGTAGCAGCCACCTTTCCCGATTCAAATATCACGCAAGAATCATTGGTTACTTCCTCAAAATGCGACATCCTAGATTGCAATAATACTTACGTGGACTGTAATTTTGTAGAACCCGCTTTTGGTGTTTGCGAAAAAGAGGTTGCCGATATGCTGGTATCCCTATCCAACTCTAGTTCCAAACGCGATACTAATTTGAACGATTTCCTCATGTCTAGTGACGATAGCCTCACCCGTAAAGGTTTAAAAAACAATTTTTTATATTTTTTATCCATTTTTTTTTAAAAATAAATATTTTCCAAGTGAATACGCAAACCGACCTCAACCATAAACCCGCAATGGTCATCATGTGATATCTTTAGGATGGGTATGGGTAGGGGGGGGGGGTAAGCTTTAGATCCCTCATCCGATCTATAGTGTTCCCGCCCTTATGAATCAATTTTTTTAAAATTTGACCCTAATCAAAAAACCACCATTTTTAAAAAAAAAAATTCTATCGACAGGACTGGACGTGTCTGTGCAAAATTCTTCAACGACAAATTTGAAATATCGAATATTTCCAAAGTTTGTCCCGAGAGTTTCGGGTTTTTAAGTATGCCCCGGTTTAGTTCCGGTTTTGTATTTGATCCGGTTTCGGTCTTCGATTTGACTCGATTATACGAATTCCAGTTCCAAACTATTACTTTCGATTTATTTTTAATTATTATTCAATTTCTTTTTTGTTCTGAAATACCGATTTATAAAAAATAAATTTGAATGAAAATACTTCTATTTTAAAAAAACAACTAAAAAGAAGAAAAGAAAATAAAAACGAAATTCGAAGGCTCGCTTAGTAAATAATTTGTAGATCGTAAAAAAATAATAAGATATTAAAAAGTAATTATTCAGTATTTAATTTTATTATATTCCTAAATAAACGAGTAAATATTGTAATTTTTACTTCAAAATAGAGAAGAAAAAAAATAAAGAATGCAATAAATATAGAAAAGAAAGAAATAAAAAAAAGAAAGAAAACGGTATACACCTAATTTCTGTATAATATTAATAATTGACATCTCATCCTCTTATTCTTCTCACTCTTCCTTATCTTCTCCCTTTACTTTATCCAGCCCAGTTGTGGGGATTTAATAATAATAAGCGCTTATTAGGTTAAATCTTATTTGCAAATATTTTTGAAAAATATATCAATTATCGTGCCATCCTCTGTGGAATCATAATGTATCACATGGTTTTTGTGGTCTAAAATCAAAAAAAAAAAATTAAATTGTACTCATTTTTCATACCAGTTTTTATAAATTATATTACCTACCTTTCTTTTATAAAAAGGCTTCTGCCAAATGATTCTTAAATCATATAAAATCTCGCAATTTCAGAGAGCGTAGACGTTTTAAATATTCATTAAAAATTTTGGTGACAAAAGAATGAATACCAATAGGAATTGTCATATATACTATATATTATATATATATATATATGATAATTTAATAATCGTAAATCTAACTTTGAAATTAAATATTAATTGGATTTAGCAAAGCGACCATAGTTTACGTTTATTCGCGTATTAATCACATTTAATATTAGACAATTCGGATTACGATCTTATGGTAAGTGGTTGACAGCTTACTTTAAATATATTAGAACAAATTTCTAGATATGGGGGGGGGGAATTGCCTACTTTGTGCCATTCAACTTCGAGTCTTAAGTCTATAGAATATAAGTGCGATCATAGCCAGGGATGACAACCATAACGAGGTTTAGGTTCAGATAATAACGGTTCAGACTTGGTATAATGATATCAGTTCCGCCCGAATCTTTAAGAACAGGACTCATTTGCTTACAAATTTATTAGAATTATGTATAGAGAAAACCCCATTTTTTTAAAAAAATTTCACTGTTAGCACTAAAATTAACTCATACATGAGGCAACTGACCCTTATCTTATTATTATTGCGAATACAAATTTAACTAATTTAATAAATTTTTAACAAAGATTATTTATTTTATATAATTATTTTTCTTTAAAAAAAATACTATCAAGTCTTATCAATTAAAATATTTTCAAGATTATCTTCTGTTAAATTAATATTTATAAGGAAAAAGAATAAATTTTATGATAATATTTAAAACAGTTAAGATATCATAAGGGTTCATAGACCTAAGGTTGTCGAAATTTGTAACAATTCAGCTTTAGTTTGGGTTCTGTATATTTCGGATTGGATCCCTGATTATTGCCTTATATCGCGAAACACCTATCGAGGTATTTGTTTAAGATTTTATATTCTCTCACTGCCAAAACTAAATGGAGAAAAGCAAGATGGCGCTTGCTATATATGCGCTTGCGCCACATTTATAAAAAATAAATTTTCTCCTTGCGTAATAATCGTTATACTTACCACTTAATTGTATGTATAAGGATGACTAATAATTTTATCGTTTCTTCGATTGCTTCTTATTTTATTTAGCGCACGTAAATTTTTATAATGGTAAAATATAATGATAAAAAAAAGGAATTTTTTACGTTATTTTTTTTTGTTGTTGATCCAATTTTTAAATTTCCTGAATGATTGCTTAGGGGGCTCCGAAAAATGAAACATGAATCTGTTAAAATTTCCCCTTTTGATTACGCGAAGCGAATTCTTATCATTATAATTTTGTGGCGAAAAAAGATACATGATACTACTTTACCCTTTTTTTTTCCTAAAAGAAAGAAAGAGCAGACTTAAGAAAATATTTTTCTGAAAACGTTCAAAAGGTTTGGCTCTGTTTTATTTTTTGATGCCTTTCGTTTAGAACTCTCGTCCCTATTTCCTGAAAATTTTAAGGGATTCTAATTATTAGAATACTGGTTCTTAGGATTTTATTTTTCGAAACTGATTAAATCCAATGTGATCTTTGAATTATAGCTACGAATTCTTTTTAAAAAAAATTGCACGATATTCCGTCCTCTACCGCCCTTAAAAATCCATAAACTTTTTTTTGAATAAGTAACGCATGGGTGATACTTTTATTGTATCTGTGAATTCCCGGGAACGATTAGCTCTCACCTTTCTAGTTACCTAGAATTAGTGTTGTAAAACGGCTCGATTTGAGCCGATTTTTTAAAAAAGACCGCTAACTCAATATTTTATATGCAAAAATATTACGCAAACATGAAGATTTTGCTCATAGGTGGTATAAAGGTTCGTACATCTTATTAGCGAATTTAAAATATTTTTATAGCCAAAATATTGAGTTAGCCATTAAAAATAGGCGCGTGCTCAATGTATAATAGTTGTATAGTATGCGCACGCGCAAAAGCACGTTTTTCACTTAAGATTTCCTCGATAATAAAAAATGTGATACGATCGAAATAACCAATGCTTTTAATCTATAATATTTACATTTAAATAAAAATAATCATTTTCGACGAGCATCTGTGACTTAATCGGATGAGGGCGTGTACCTCAATCCGGTAGTTCTGGGTTCGAATCCAGCAAAGAACCATGTTTTTTTCTGAATCCAACTAGGTAATCGGGGGGGGGGGGGAGGTGATATATAGTCGATCAAAATTAACCACGTGATTCCATTTATTTATATAATTAAAATATAGGCTTGGTCTGGCCCTGCCGTGTTTTTAATAAATCTTTCTAAAAACCAGGTTTTTGGATGCGGATCAGCTGGTCTCTGAGAAGTATCTGTTTGTAAAATAAAATAAAAAAATTGGTGGAGGCAAATAGAATTTGCGTGCGTTTTCTTCTTTTTTTTTTAAAAAAATATTTTTCCAATTAAATATAAACAACGTGGTTGATAAAATATTATATTATATTTTTTAAAGCCTTAATCTATAAGGCAAACAAAATTACATATAATTTTTAAAAATGAAAATTTTTTATCAATTAGGTTCGAAGTTGGTATATTTTATTTATTGTTTAAAAAGTATGCGTAATTTTTGTTCGCGGCATTTTAGACGTGTTTATCTTCGTCTCATGAAACATCCCCCCTCTTTTTCGAATCGGATACTTAATATTCGATTCATTTTAAGCGAATATGTGGCGTGATCGATTTTCGAATTATTCGGAAGGAATAATATTCAAACTATTTGATTCGATTTTCGAATTAGTCGAATACTAAATAAAATTCAGCGTGAAAATTTGATTTTTTGTAAACAAAACAAAATTTCTAAAAAGGTAAATATTTGCCCTACCTAATAATAATATAATATTAATAATTTGTTTTGAAAATGGTTGCCTTACATTTAGGTTAGGGTTCAGTTTTAACCGGTCCCTGAATAATTTAAAAAATGGTTATTCAGCCAGGTTCATAGTATTTTTATCCCGGCCCGAAAAATAGTTTACACAGGTTACCGAGCCTGTAGCCTCGTCCGTCCATGCAGATCTTAGGTGCCCAAAACAGTTGGAAGTTTTGAGCAAAAAATCTTTGAAGACCACATAATGGATGATTTTTTTTAACATTTAAAGTGGCGAACCGTCCTTCTAAAAAAATAGGATTTGGGTTCAGTGAAAAATCTCTGAACCAGGTTCATAGAATACCCAGGCTGAACCGAATATTTAGAAACCAAATACTTTAAATCGCCATTATTAACTATAAAAATTGAAAATAAATATAATATGTTTAAAAATAAATTCGGGCCTGGCCTGAAAATATAAAACACGGGCAGTTATTTTAGAAATAATTCTAACCACATCCAATTTCCTTAATTTGTTTGTTCCTCGAGGAAAATGAGAGGAAAACAAAACGCTCTAGGTAGAATAGGGAATTTTTTTGTTTTTCCTTTCTATCGGAAATGAAGATTTATAATTTTAAAAAATAAACAATATGGTAGACAAAATTTAATATTTATTTTGCCGATAATTATATTTCGGATTAACTAAAAGGAAATTTTTTTTGAAAAATCGGTATCCGCTAAGTTCCAGTTCAGTTAGAGCGAAAAAAAACAATGCTTAGCGCATAACTCATATAATCATATTTGTAAAATATAAGAGAAAAAATGTCATCAAGCTGCTTCCTAGCATTGTTTTTTTTAGAATTCTTGATAGAATGCGTATTATAAATAAACCATTACCCATCACACTGTAAAAATCACTCCATCATTTTGAAAAAAAATTTTAGCCAAAATGGAGTGCTCTAGCTACTTTTTCAAATAGAATGGCTATATTTCAGATATCAAAAATTAAGACACAAATAATTTGTCTCAAAATTTTTCTCGAAAAACAAAATTTTTTCTTCTTTTTTATAAGAAATATTTGTTTTTTTTTTAAAAAAAAAATTGCCATCGTAAAAGAGGCCAAAATGTGAAAAATAAGAAATTGGTTATATTTTTTTTTTCATCCTCATTTTTATGTACTGTGGTATGGTAATGGCTATGGTATGTGGTATTATTTTATTAGTCATTAATATTATTATACACTGATCAATGGACATATAATAATACCTAGACTAACGATACATTCATTAAAAGTGTACATCGATGAAAAACAGCTGGGGACGTTATTTTGATCACCCATATCATTATTAAAAAAAATCTTAAACGAGAGGACCGATATATTCCTGGGTCTGACGCAAACTTTATTAAAGAATTGCCCGATCATCGAGGAGATAATAAGGAAGCGAGTTATCAATTTAATAATAGTTTTAACATGAGAATATGGGGTACCAAAATGGCGGATCCAGCCGATTCGCATTTCAACGACGCTTCCAAATGCATTATTATGAATGCATCGTCGGTCTAGTTATTATTATATGTCATTGATACTGATACACTACTATACCAATATTATTATAATTAAAATTTGTACTATTCGAAAGTATAATCTGATTCATTATGATGTTTATGAGGAATATAGATTACAATTTGTTTTTATCAGGGATGTGAACTCGAACCCGGATTCAAGAATTTTAAATTTCATTAGATGGAAATTTTGATAACAGGAACTTAATTGAAACCGATTTCCTAAGAGGGGTCAGAGCTTGTTCCAGGTCCATTTTACCCCGGGTTTAATGAGTTGTCCTAAAGATCGGTCTCTGTTTGTTCTGTGGTTTCAAAATTCCCAACCAAACAATTTTAAATTTCCCGAATCCAGGTTGGGGTTCACCCCTGGTTTTTAAGAACCCATTTTAAAATTTTAACAAAAAAAATATACCACTAATTGGAACAAACGTGAATCAGCTAGAAATTCTAATAAAATTTTAGGAAATGGTACTTAATTTTAACTCCTAAAAATAATTTATATTTTTTTTTCTCGCCATAAATAAGGGTTTAAGAATTAATGTTAATCTATTTCCTTGCGTACATACTATAAGTATACAATCATAGAGTTTTTAACAAAATTATATATAAAGTAGAATCAATTATAATTAGATTTTCTTACCGAATTTATAAATAGGATTTATGAAGTTACCAGAGCAAATTTAAAAACATTAAATTTATCTTTCGCAAAAAAGCAGACGATTCTCTAAAAAAAAATATATTTATTTATAAATATTAAATTTATCAACTCAATATTTTAGAATCAACACCGTGGTTCAATATTTTACCAGTCTACGATTCAAACAACTCGACCTTATCGTACATTAAACCATACGCCGCACACCTTAAAGAGATGAAAAGTATGCATCCATCTTGAAATTAGTTGAATATAATCTTACTTTAAATCCACAAAATTATACAAAACCTAAATTACATTTTAAGAATGCTGAATATAAATTCTCCTAACGCTCTGGGCAAAAATATCAAATTATTTCAAAAAAAAATTAAGATAATTCTAATTATCCCATATAGCCTATAGCATATCATACCTTGTTTCGGCCTATGCCCTCTCATAATGAATAGAGATATAACTCCCTATGCTAAATCAGTCTTTAGGCCGAAATCTATAGCCATAGACGGTAATAACCTTAGCCTACATCAGATCCTGGGGCCTAGTTTCGGTAAAATTCAACTGCCCTAACTTATCAGCTTGATTTTAACGACTGGGCACCGACTAGTTATTTTAAAATGGCGGCCCACTCATTTTGGAGGAAATTTAATTTGTAAAAATTTATCTCGACTTGAGACTTGAATACCAAAATTCAAAGTTCATTACTTGAGTCATAACTTTAAATCCTCAGAATGAATCTGGTCATTTAACCCTGCCCGTTAATCACCGATTTTCCGACTGGTGGTAGCCATCTCATATAGTATAGACCGAACCTTCGCACAAATCTGCTCTTTAGTATAGTGCGATGTGTGAAGGAATTCGCGTCCAATGTCTTTCTGCTAGGGGTATTTTTATCCAGTACCTTTCTGCCCTGATTATTAACTTTTTTTGATATCGACCACAAAATGGATAAAAATGCACATCAATTTATTCTTTATAATAAATTGAAATAATATTACAATTAAAAGAATCGGATTGCAAATCAGTAAATCTTTCATCGACATTGGAGGAACCGCTGAACGCTACCGAATGCTGCGATGACGAAGACGACGTTTTTATGTGCGATGAAGTACCGCTCATAGATTTCAGTAAATATATTTACCTTTTTTTTTTATCTATCACAAAGAATGATTTTTATGAAACTAATCTCGCCAAATCTTTTACAGATAGAAAGGACCATTTTAATTAAAAAATTGAATAGCTACTCAAATATCCCTTCACAAAAAGTTTGAAATTATAAAATAAACAAATTTTTTTTTTTCCTATTTTGTATCCCGTTTTTTTTATTTATTTCCTGAGTGATTATTGCACTTCTCAAGGCGCCATCCAATAAATATCGTTTGGATATGATTTAAAGATGATTTGTGATATGTTTTAATATTTATTTATAATTTATCGCGTCTAATTAAAAATTTATTTATTTCGATATATACATAGATTTAAAATATAAATAAACTATATATATTAATTATAAGATTCTTGATGTGGGATAATTGACGTTTATAATTGGGTTTTTCAAAATACACAATATTAAAAAAAAAATTTTTCGCTACAGATGCATCATCCAAAATTTTATTGCCAAAAATTAAGAGCAAATCCTTTTCCGAGATTCCTACGATCCATACTTCTAAATCACCAAAGGTCATATCACCACGTATCGACAAATGTCTCACCACTTTTCCTCCCCTCAAAAAATCGAAATCTGAAAATATTTTTTTGTCACCACAGGTTTTTATTACCCTTTCCTTTAAATACAAATTTTACTTGTACACATTTTTAAAATGAAGAGATTTTCTCAAAGTTTAGGTTGAAATTTAGCGGAGAAAGAAATTGGGAAGGATTTTATCGGATAGAAATTATTTTTATATAATAAAGGTGTTAGATTCTTTTAGAAAGAATCATCGTAAAAATTATAATGAAAAAGTGACGATTAGATTTGAAATTATAATGCGCTTTATTTATCTCTAGGATTAGTGATGCGGTTCCCTTATTTTAATAATTAACACACAATCTTACATTGTTTTTCGAATATATATATATTATTTTTTTTATCGCAGACCAAAGAGCATCTTCATAAATGGCCTTATCAATTAGATATCAAGCACGATGACCCACTAGGCCCGATAAAGCCAGTTCCATTCTACCCTGATCTTGCCAATCCTTCTACATTAACCAAACCTCCTGGAGTGGAAATTGGCCAATTTCCCGATATCGATAACCTCTTAATAAAGCAACGTATCAGGAGACCCATGAACGCATTCATGATATTCAGCAAAAGGCACAGACCTCTAGTCCATCAAAGGCATCCCAACAAGGATAACAGAGCCGTTTCTAAGATACTCGGGGAATGGTGGTACGTATTAGAACCTGGGCAAAAAAAATTGTATCACGATTTGGCTTCACAAGTAATAAATATTAGAGAAAATGGATACCGGATTTACTATCAATTTTTTTTAGTGGCACTGATAACTCTCAGTGTCCACGCGCGCTAAATATTTATTAAAATTATTTGATTTAGACTACGTCTAAGTATATCTTTTTAACATGGGATAGAAGGTTAAATTGTTTCGTTCTAAAAAAAAATATAGTAGGAACCGGGCCCCATTTTAAAATTTCCACGAATCGCGAGCTAATAATCTAATGTTGTGTAATTCATTTTCGAGGGAGGATTTATTTATTGAATCTTAACGGAAATGAAGGTTAAAGAGGCCCATTACAAGACCTACCCTGATTGGAAATGGTGCAATAAGGAACGTAAGAAGTCCTCCAATTCCAATACCAACCAGTCAGAAATTTCGCAAGACAACCACGCGATACCCGTTACGCGTGACAATGACAATACCTTAAAAAGTAAACCGCCTTTAAAAATGATCTTGTTTGGCTTACGACAGGAAAAAAAAATATTAGATGTTTTATGTGAATGCTTTGGGATAAAATTTGAATTTTGATGAATATCATATAATTATGTTTTTTTTACTTGAGTAATCTTTCCATATTTTGACCAATTCCTTCTACATGCCACAAAATAATATTATTTTTTATTTAGAAAATGATATCACGATGCCACATGTCGATCCTAAGGATGTTCGTATTGATTTGAAATGCTGCGAAGAGGTGATTGACAGTGATCCCGAAATTGTGACAGAATCCAATAATAACGATATAATCTCTAAATCATTTCCCAAGAGCACTTTTAAGTAAAATATGTCTTTTAATTTTTAAAAAAAGGATAAAATAAGCATAGAATTTTTATGCCTTAATCTCATTTCATTTATGTAATTTTAAAGTCCCATCAATACCTCAACTTCGGCTCAAAATTTGGCTGACAAAACTCAGTCCAAACTTGCCAACAACCTTTCTTCAAACTTAGTCAATATTTTACCGAAATCGGATGAAAGGAATGTCTTCACCCACCATCATAATTCTAAAAACCAAAATGGCTGCAATAAATTGATTAACCAAAACATTGCTTCATCTACCCAAAATCAAAATTTTTTCGATCAAATATGTAAGTCACAAATTGAACATGTTGGTCAGACGAAAGAATTCGAATCCGCTAATGTAGTCGTTGAGAACGGCATCGTTCCTTCTCTCAAGCTCATACCATCTAGTCGGGACTTAGCAAACCCAATTTCGGGCCACGGTAATAATAATACGAATACGAAGAATGTTTGCAATATTGGCAATACTAGCTCTTACAACACCTTAACCTTCCCTATCCTAGTGCTGAAAAATGGTTCCAACACTCATTCTGGCCCCTCGGAACTTATCAACAAAGCTTCTTCCAAATTAGCACTCTTAGTAGCCGCTCATCAAAACAATATGTTAAAACCCGGTGTTAGTAACACAGTTAATTCTCAAAATATTTTGAACGGTTGCAACTACTTGAATAAACAAATATCCGATCCGCTGGACGAAAATAACACCAATTTCTCCAAAATTGTATTCCTGACAAACGTGCCATCGACTCACGATAATTACAATATCAACAATTTGCCCGCCATAAATCAGAGTTTTAAGAATCATCATTTTTTTGGAGACCTAAAGAAAATATCATCATCCGCTCCTACAACTAAGGCCATTACTCTTTCATCACCCGCTTTTTCATTCCACGCTTCCTCCGCCCCTGTAAACGTTAAATTAGATTTTGGCGCCTATTCAACTAATCCTGAAAATTTATACGGCAGTAATCTTGTTAACTATAGCGTCACGCCTATTAACTATCTCTCAAGCAACACCGTTTCATTGATGAAAGATAACAGAGATTTGTGTAACAAAGACACCCTGGCAAGGGCCCTTCGTAATTACAACGATATAGGCGCTTCGCTATTGAATAGCCGCATGTTGTCGAACAATAAAACGTTGGCGACCCCGACAATCCAGACAAACAAAAAAAACGTTCCATATCTATATCCGGATTTTAATGCCTTATCTTTCAGCTTTCCTCTCGGAATCAACAACCTCGCTTGCAGAGATATGTTGGCCAGTAAAACTTACAGTTCCGCCGATCAGTCTATAGATGCGAGTGGAAATTTAGGTAGCGGTTCTGATAACCAGCATCACCCTTTATTCTACTCAAATTGGCACGATTACCAAAATGTAAAAAACGGCGCCTTGAACCAAAATGTGAGGCAACAAACGGGGTTCAAAGCTGATTATTCTAGCGACTGCAGTAATTTAGTCAATTATATTCCTAAAAGTCGCCCATCAGCGCACGATAAAACTCAATTTGGATTGATTAAATCGTTGCTACCCCAGACTCACGACTTGAACCACATCAGGACCAGTTTGAGGTCGAAAAACGTCTTGACCTTCAACGAGGGTAGTGCGATCCCCCACCCGGCCCCAATCATGGCGTCAAATTTCTTGGGGCTAAATATGCCACGCCAGGACAAAGAATACTCCTTGTTGAATAAAGCGAGCGCATGTGATTACGTCAATTGTGTTTTGAGCTCCCCAGCTAGCCACGTCAGTAATTTTAACTTGCCATCAAATTCCTCCAATGAACCAAATAAACACTCATTGCCAAACCTGGGTTATATACCGAATACCCCCATAACGAATCCAATCGTATACTATCCATTAAACGCTTTGCCTAACACCGCGAGTATATTATTTTTTGAAATAATAGTTTTTAGAGTTGAGACCTCAGATAATAGCTATTCGAATCAATTGTTTATTTTGATGCCATTGAATTAAGCATTTATATCGCCACTTATCGCGCATGCGTTTTTAAAATAATGAGGAAAAATGATCGACAATTTATGTAGATTTCGAGGAATTTTGCATAATTAGGGGCACAACAAAAAGGATTTTTACTAAATATTCTATTTTTATAAATTTCATTTAGGTCGCAATTCATCTTCTTACTTTAACCCACATATGTTCAAACCTTTGAAGTAATAAAAAAAAATATCTTATCTTACCGTTAATCCAATTAATATATTAAGTAACGAAAGAAAAGAAAGAAATAAATAAATAAAAAAGAAAGAAAGAAAGATATTTAAAAAAATGAGAGAGATTGATATAATGCCAATTACATTATAATTTTTCATGGAACACAGATTCTTGCCTATAAGCACTGATTATGCAAACTCGTTTATCGCAACCTTGAACCACCAATCTCCCTGTCCGAAGCCACCAGATACTTGCCCTAATGTCATTAATCAAAGTTTATTTTATTAATCATTTGCTACTACGAATTATGAGTTACATGTGACGTGAAAGATCGTATATACTTATAGATATAGTATCCGTTACTATGCCATTTTAGGGGAAAATTGGTTTTATATTCGAAAGAAAGAAAAATTTCTATTAAAAATTTATTAAATAAATCCTAAAATGTGTTATTAATATTGTCCGAATTATATATGTTTTAAAATACTAACCCATACGATTTCTAAAGATTGTGTTTTATAAAAGGTACCCCGATCTCCGATTCGTTTCCCCCCATAGGGATCCCTCTCCTTACTTCTCTGCCCGTCACGACAGTGATACCTTCTTCCAAGGACGACCCGGAACCAAAAAGCTTCACAATTTTCAATCCACCCTTGAATTCCAGTATGATCGTTTCGAGTCATATCTCGTCCTCATCTTATGGCACGTGAGACCCCTTCTTTTCATTCATATACCTCAGCCGTAGATTGGGAATGGCTATAGTCGCTTTGTATTAAGTTATGGCTTATAAAGAAAAATGACTACGGCTATTAGCTTTAGTCATAAAAATGGCTGATTGTCAATTCAAATCACTAGGACTACAATGATAAGGCTTATATTCCAGCTTTTAGATTTTATCGGGTTCTGATTTCGGTTCTAACCTTTGTTTGAAAAAAATCAACTTTTCACGAATGTTCTTATTTAAATTGGCGGATTTCCTAAATTGACTAATTCGTATCCTCCATGGGACGCGAGCTGATCAAGAGTTCAGTTAATAACAGTGGAAATGTCTTTTTTTGCAAGTTTCTTCTCTAAATATATCTTTTGACGAAAGCAAATTTTTTTTAAAAAAAGCTTAAATAAATGAAAAAAAGGAATTTTAAATAACTAAAATGGTAAATTAAAATTAAAATCCAAAAGAAAATAAATACAACTTCTTCTTAAACGCACCTCTGAGAGAGACAAACGGGCGAAGAGACGGAAATACCTTGGCTTCCTCTAAATATACGACGAGTGTTGTTAAAGTCTTAGTTAAGCTTTTGGCATAAAAAATTGAATTAAAACTCTAAGTTGAGCTTCGTCTTAAAATGATTGCGATGAACTCTTTACAGAACGCGGTAGTTGTATCAACTGACCTTTTTTTTAGAATTTGTATCTGTATCTGCTTCGATACATTTAAAAAAATATGGTTATTAATACAAGTATCCCTTATTATTTAATGTTAATTAATTAACGATTAAAGTGTACTTGATCAAGTGAATTTTGAAGAGAGACTAGCTGCACTTCCCGAATTCATTCCGCAAATGCAAGAAAAACCCGCGGAGTTATTGCCAGCCAGTCCAGCACTTCTTTTAGGGAGTTATCGTAAAAAGCGGAAGCTTTCAAGTATTTCTACCATATCTTCTTATATGGCTAATAGTAAGAAAAAGAAAAAGAAAGAAAGAGAAAATGGAAGAAATAATAAATAAAAGAAAAGAAATTTTTTATTTATAACTGAATTTTCTTAAATATTAATTTTTTTTAGTGTCGCTTCATCAAGAAATCTTGGAGTATTGCAGTTTGGCCACCCCTACCAAGCTTGTTCAATCTCCTTTCACCCAGCCTATTCCCACGTGCGATCATTCCATCGAAATCAAGAACAACGACAGATTATTTGTAAACGATTATCCTCGGTTCTCCTCTTATAATTTGAGCAAAAATAAGGTGACTACAACCCCTAAAAATCGTAACGTCCCAGTCCATGGTAATTACTCGATGACCGATCAAAAGCTAGAGTCTCCGGGTTTAAATTCTAGCAGCGAAAGTACCGATACACTGTTTTTCGGCAACAATTTTTGCTTGGATCTTTTGGCCAACGCCGCTATCATCTCTAGCCACCACAGCTGCAAAAGTAAATCAGGAATTGCATTTTTCGAAGTTTGCCACCCACACTAAAAAGAGTTCTGGTGCCGGTTCTAAAAACATTTCCCCATTAAAAAAATTTATTTATTCCGCGCAGAGTTACTTACAATATGTATCTAAATACATTCGAAAAATATCGTTTAATAACTCTGGTTTCATGTCCTAAAAAATTTTTCCAAAAAACTCTTTTAGTTACGTCTTAGATTTGATGGGGTTTTGGTTTCTATTCCTAAACTGTTAAAAATTCCCCAAAAAATTAAAACATTAAATAATTTTATTATGGATTTACTTGGTCACACACTGTGTACTTTTGCAAATACAAAGTGTACTGTTCCTATGCATTATGTAAAGATTACAGCTACATATTTACGTATATAGTGTTGTTAGAACAGGTGATTTCGATCCTTCAATAAAAAAAATTAAGGTTTTCCGGTTTCTTCAAATTTTAAGAAAAGGTTTCGCTTCCAAACTGGGAAAAGAAGATGTTTAGATTACATTATACTTTGTTAGCTATAATTAACTTCCTTTTAATAATCATTTTTTAAATGAAGGTAGTGTGCCTATGTGTCTAATTACCACTATCTCCAGCCAAGGTATGTGTACTACTCCCGTGACATCCAGTTTGCTTAATCCTCCTAATAGTAGTTCTATCAGACAGACCCTGGACAAGAGGAGGATCCTAGTTATGCAATTGTTCAGCGAACACAGCCTCTTCCCTTCCAGCAAAGCTGTCAACGAATTCCAAGCTCTTCACAAGGACATATTTCCAAACAAAATGTGCCTGACTCTGAAGATTAGAGAGGTTTTGGAGTGCTCTTAATATTATAATTTTTATGATGGTTAGGTCCTGGAATAGTCAAAAAATCATAATAAAAAAAAATTGGGAATTTTGTTTTTTTTTGCTTTTAAAATAAACTTTTGATTTATTATTATGTTTTTAAAAAATGAGAATGACATGTTTTCTATTCTAGATATATTTTAGTCTATTATCATCCATCACATGCTCCATTTATATTATCAATGTTATTAATATATATTGTATTCCATATCGAATTAGCCGAAGATTCAATCCTATCTTCTTCGATTTTTTTTTATATAAATTTGTATGATAGTAGTATACAAGTTAGCGTTAATGTGTTTTTTCCGGCAATATGTTATTTTTACAACTTTTAAATCATTTTCTGAGCTCGATTTAATAAATTTGTAAATGGATTTTACCAGATTTATTTATTCTATCATGTTTAAGAATACCAACTCTATAAGTTTCAGACAATTTTGCTGTTAACCTTTGAGTCATTTATAATTTATATAAAATATATATGGAAAATCGAATATAAATTTGATTAAGTTTAAAAGTTCGTGGAAATTTTATCTGAAATCCATAGGGTAGATATTCCAAATATAACGGCACATACATTTTCAGTAAAAATCAGAATTTCGAAATTTTTAAAAAACTCGCTCAAAAAATGATTTGAAGTTGAAAAAATAACACATTTATACCTACCAACATACGAATTTTTTAAAAAAATTGATGGGGGGTCGGGTTGAGAATCGACTTTTTTTTTGGTTGATTTAATATGGAATACAAAATACAACATGTATAATATGATCTGGAAAAGAAAAATTAAGCTGAGTTTTCGTGATATTCCAAATTCAGTTTCGCGTAGATGTACCGGAAACCAAGGAGGCTTAGTTAGATAATCTTGAATGTCCAGAGCTAACAGTTGCTTTAAAGAGTAAGTTCTCTTTTTGGTAATTTATTCTAGCTACTTTGAAGAATATCAGGGCCTCATCCGAATTCCGAATATTGTTGTAAGTAAAGGCAGGAATGGTTCTTGCACATTACCCCTCTGTTTTGTTTTGTATATCCATATTAAACCTTGGGAAAGGTGATCTACACCAGAAGATGCTTCATAAAAGACCCGATAGGTTGGCTCAAGGGTTCCCGTTAAATCACGGAGAGGGACGAAATTGGGAACAAAGATTATATTTCCTCCTTTTTTAGAGATTTTTTTAAAAAAAACTTAATTTAAATAGATGTGTTTACTTCCCTAACATCTATTAATATCAATTTCAAATTTACTTTAAAATTTTTCTAAGAGATATAAGCGAGATTTCCAATTTTTCGCTATTTCGATTAGTGTTGTTAAACGGCTCGTTTTGAGCCGATTTTTAAAAACGGCTAACTCCATATTTTAGCCAGAATAATATTGCCTAAGCCTCAAGATTTCTATAATATTTGTATAGATCTTTGTTCCTTCTATGAGCTAAATCTTCAGGCATAGGGAATATTTTTCTGAATGAAGTATTGAGTTCGCCGTTTTTAAAAATCTGCTCAAAACGAGCCGTTTAACAACACTAATTTCGATCCTGCTATTTACCGGCTCAAGAGGCCATCTCCCCATTTTCCAAGGAATAATAGTGATTTTATGTTGGGCGTTTTATTTCCGTTATATCGATTAGAGGGCTCCAAAGTCCATGGGATGTGCCCCAAATTTTGTATTTGCATGAGATTGTCTGGTTTAAGCATTCTGAGATTTTAGGGCATCGGAGGTACTTTTATAGCAGTACCGTCACGTGATTAAGTTATAAATAAAAATTAGGTTATTGAAGACTCAATTTTAGTCACAGATTTTGTATATGAAGAAAAATAGTTAAACAGATTTTCGTTTTTGAATTTAAAATAATATTTTCGGTTTTCTTGATTTTTTTTCTCATTATTTTGTTTCCGGTCCAAGGTGGTTCAAGTCCTAATAATAATAGCTACAATAAAGATTCAATATTTTCGTCCATCGAATTAACCATTTAGTTTTATTTTAAAAATATTTATTTAAGTCCTCCTAACGAATATCCGCTATTCGAATCGGATTCGGATAGTAAAATATTCGATTTATTCGTTATATTATAAAAAATAAATTTGCTTATTTTTTTTACCAACTTTCTTTCTAACAAAATTAAAATTGCGAAAAAAAATAAATAAATAAGGTGAGACAAAAATTGATGTCACAAAGTCCCAACAGCCCCCATCTGCCAATCATCAATACGAACAGCCCTACCGTCAATTGCCACAATAAATCAACTCCCGTCATAGCACCCGATACAGATAACACGCTGAATAACTACATGTTTTTGCCCTTAACCTTACCTTCAAAAAATAACTCCTTCGCGCCCCTCATAAATTCTACCGCACCAATGGTCACCGCTAAAATTTCTTTTAACGGTCAGGGTATAAACGGAACTTACCGTAATAATAGTAAGAAGGATGTTATTGATTCGAACATCCTTCCCGACACTTCAACGCGAAAACCTGTCGAAAATGAAGCGAATTTTAACGCTTCCTCCATTCTAAAATTGAACAGGCCACCACCCGATAGGGTGGCTCTCAAGGCTGCGAGGAATAATAAGAAAACCAAACCTTGAGACGCTTTACAAATATAAAAAATATTGTATTATTTTAAAAAAAAAATTAGATCTCCTGTTCCTTTACAACCCTTAAGGTTCGAAAATGCTATGAATTCTTTGGTTTTGATTTTAATATGTTTTTCGTGATTGATTTACTATTTCTAAATCGAAATTATAGAAGAACAAAAATGTGAAAACAAGTGCTTTTTATTTCAAAACAGTCCACTTTTTTTTAATAATCTTAATGCGTATAACATTAGGTTTGTTCCTAGCAATAGTTATTTCAATTACTTATTCCCCCATATAACTAGTGAAATTTATGAATAGGTCAAATAACACTTGTGTATTCTTTTCCTCTTTATTTTTGAAATTTATCCTCCTTTATATTAAATATATATATCTTAAAAAAAGATTGTTACTAGTGCTAAATTAGGAAAAATTATTTTTATTTTTTTTTTAAAATGAAATTTTTATATTTTTTTGAAATATATATTTATTTTTTTTTTAAAAAAAAGAAGAATTTAAAATGAAATGAAAAAATTATAATAATTTCGCAATCATTTGATATTTTTTTAAATTGATTATTTTATTATACGTAAAAAAAAAAGATTTTATTATTTTTTTGTACATTATTTTTTTATATAACATTAAGCATTATTATATACTTATAAAATTATATTCTTATGACATGTAAAATTACAAGACTGATGTTTCATTCAATTTTAAATAAATGCGTGTTAAATGCAAATCAGCTGGTGCCAGCTGTTGTGCTTCGATACGCGTTTTAATGGAGGAATCGTCATTCTAGATAAGTTTTACTAAGTCATTCATTTACATTATAATAGAATTTTACCTACTAAAGTATCGTTTAAAAATATAACCAAAAAAACGATACTTTGCGAGTTACAATGCTATATATTATATAGAATTAAATAGTCCCCTCAAAAATCTCCCAATGACAAGAAATTTTTTTTATAAAATTTGTTATAAAAATATATAAATTTCAATAAAAAAAGATGATTTATGAAATGTATAATTATTAAATTTGAAATACAAATAAAATGATCCTTTATATCAAATTAGAAATTAGCAAATTTTAAAAATCTTGTTCGCGAATAGTAAGCATGATATTTGTGAAGGGTTTTCTATGCTAATGCTAGATTTCGATAATCAGCACATAGCAATTGCTAAACACCGACCCTCTAGTCCAATCTACCATATCATCTCCACTAAGAAGGAACCACTTAGATGGCTTCAGAAAAGACACGATTTTTGCTGGAACAATCGACTAGTCCCAGAGACGTTTAACGAAAACGACTATTTGTTTTAAAAAAATATATATATAAATTGGGTTATTTCGATAGTATCAAATTTTGGTTTGTTCAATATCGCATATGAATTTATAATTCACAGTTTTTTTAAGGAAACAATTGCATAAAATTTATGGGAAAGGAAAAACAAGCTTATTAATTCCCCACTTCCGCTCCAACAAAAATCTTGCTTACCTATAAAAAAAATTAATATTCAGGTTCCCCTATTTTTTAAGTAAGTTATTTTGAATTTTTTTTATTTTCATGTCCGAATTTGCCCAAAATTTATTTTCGATGTGGTCCCATTCATTCATAAGAAAAACAATGTAAACGAAATAAAAAAGATCGAAGGAACCCTTATTCCGGAAGATGGAATAGAACCAATATATACCTTGGTAAATGAAGCATGTCAGCTGTTATATGAACCAATTTTGTAAAAAATATTAGATATAAGGCCGGAGAAAAAATTTTAATTTATTCCTTGTGGAATTATATTTTAAGTTCATCAAATTCGAGATAAAAGAAAGGTTTATTGTAAATTGTTTTCTGTTCTATTTTTTAATTAACCTGAATTTAGTCTACTAAATTAATTTTGGTAATCAAATCCGAAACGACCAGAGTCTGATTGAATCGATCATCAGTTTTAGCAAGCGGAGCATGACCGAGCCGTAATTTTTATATATTCGGAATGGAATAAGGTGAATATTTAAATTAATGGGTAACATCGAGGAAAAGAGGAAAATTATGTTGAATTCTCAATATAGTTGTATAGTATATATTATAATTATTTACAGAATTATACAATCTATCTAATTATTTATGGCAAATTATTAGTATTTTTTAAAATATAATATGACAAATATAAAAGTATTAATTGCCTACTATTTGACGAAGATCGTTATGAACAATATTGGTGAAATTATTTTGGGAAGAGTTGAGAATTATTTTAGTCTCGTCAAATTAGTAAAATATGAAATAAATTCTGATATTATTTCTTGAAATAAATGTTGGGAAAGTTTTAACGACCCGATTAAAATTTTAGCCAAAATGGAATAATGCGAGCCTTGAGATTAGGCAAATGGTCCATATCTTTCTGCCACCTACAATCAAAAATCTTAGGGCTTTGGCTAAAATCTTAATCAGCTTTTAAAACTCGACCCAAATCGGGGCAACACTACGGTCCAATTTTTTGGGCTTAATTATACTAATACATTCAAATATAAAAAATATAGAACATTGAAATATGCTAAATTTGACATGCAAAACATTTATTACATAAAATATTAATGTGTTTCTAAACATAAATTTATTTTACATATTTGACAAAAATATTTTGTTTTTTTATAAGAAGTATAGTTTTATGCAATATTTTGATGGTTTATTTGGCATGTATTGCCTGAATGGGCATTTACCACGAAATGCTGAAAGCATTTCATCTAGTGTTGCATATTCTGATATTGTATAAAATCTGTAGCAGTTATCAACAAATTCTCGAAAAATATTTCTAATGTGAGTTATTTGTCTACCATTTTTCTCTCTTCTATTGTTAATATGTCATCAAATCTTATTGTATGAATTAGAAATCTGAATCTTTTAAGTGTCATTGTTGCTCTATATATCTCAATTCGAAACCCATCAGATTTCCATTAATCTGACATATTTTGATGATTTGATTTGAAAATTCCAGCTAAATAAAGAATTCCAAATAATGCTTGAATTCTATTACATCAACCTCTTTAGTGGAACTTTCATATTGATCAGTGCAATTTTTACTTATAATTTTAATTTTTTCATTTGTGATAAATAATTTCTTCAATCATTTTTGGTGATATGAAAAAATCAAAACATTTTTCTGGGGTGTCAGCTTCTTTCCCATATTCTTTTAAAATTTCTTACTCTTTGATCTACAATCCTTTTTCTATTGAGTCACCTTATTTTTAAATAATTTTACAGAGAAATAGATATGATAAATAATTACATATTTACCTAAATAATTTAAGTTTATTGTCTGTTTCAACTAGTATTTCTTTCTTCTTCATCTAATTTAGATTGTGTATCATGATCAGTATCATAAATAATATATTCTTCCACTTACATAGTCATAATCACCTTAAATAAAATGATATTACATCTTAAATAATTTTTTATTTACTATCAGAATCTGCAAAAATCATAGTATATGATAAAAATAATGTCACAAACCACAATCAGTTACAAAATGCTTATATCTTAAAAACTACTCAACCGAAATATATGAAATTTGGAATATAGATTCTAAGATATATTTGATGAAGCTACTGAAGAATCCAGATCATAATATTTAACCGTTTTTATGTAATATCATTTCTAGCATCCTGAGGTTTCATATACCCCACCAGAGTATTGAAGGGTTAATCAGGCATTTTAATATTAGTGATAGTCCATTCTTATAGATAGGGAAGGGAGACTAGTATTTTTAATGGGAGTTGAAAAATTAATTTGCAAAAGAGTATTTAAAATAGATTCATTATTTTATAAGATAATCAAATTTTTTAAATAATTTACCTATGCCGTTTCGGCCTACTTAACATTGTGTCAAAACTAAATAACCTTTTAATTGAAGCTGATGCTGGTATTGCAGTATTATATTTATAATAAAATTTGCTTAATGAATAGATAATAATTAAGCATTTATAATGTATTTAGACATTCTTTAATATTATTTAAAACCTCCAGTTCAGTGTTATTTGTATTAATAAACTCAGCAACATCACCAAAAGAAAAATAACCATCATTTTCTTTATTAGATTTTAAATCTAATGGTTTTATAGTTTGAGCTTGATTATATACTCCGGAACTACATTTTGGGCTTCTTTTATTAATACATTTTGAAAGTATTTTTTTTTTATCATCTGATTCAATATAAGTTCTTAAAATATGGATGTGGTATTGATGTCAAAAAAGCCTCATTATATTCAAATCATAGGGAAATATTTTCTTAAATTCTTTTGCCCATACCGCTTTAGGCAGTTTTTAATAAAGGTAGACAATATTGTAAACAGTGGCGTAGCTAGGAATTATCCTTAGAGGGGGTCCATACATATAAAAGCCTGGGGGCTTCCCCCCAGACCCCTTTTAACGGGCATTCGGCCCTTTTGCCCGGCCTTTGGCTGGGTTATTTTACAAATTATAAACATATCTTCCATAATATATATTAAATATATTTTTTAAATGCGTCAATAATATGTTATTATAATTTAGTAGATTATTATCAATGACTTTATAATGATACTATCCAGAATAATTTCAATAGTAAAATAATATCCTTCCACAAACATCAAAACCAGAAAAAAATAAATATTAATGGTATTTATTTAATATAAAGTCACTTTTAAGTCTTTTTGAACGTATAATCTAAAAATAATTTTTGCTCTGGGAGGGGTCCAAACCGAAAACCACCCCCGTAGCTACGCCACTGATTGTAAACTTAAATTTTAAGATAACCTATGCTCTTTTTAACCACTCATAAATAATATATTTTAATATGTTTAACAAAATTTGTGTTTAACCATTTATAATTTTTTTTGTTAGGTTTTACTTCTAGCCTGTACATTATTTTTAACTTTTATTTTTAAAATTTTTTCCATATAAAATTTTAAGATTTGGATTTGATTCACGGGAACTCATTTCCATATTTCAAATTTCACTACCATGAGTGTTAATCATCGTACAAATTAAAAATTATCACATAAAATTGGTAATGATATTCTATCGAGTTATATTTATATATAAAATATAATCTTTACTTATTTCATTTTGGTGTTGTTATTTTTTATCCATCTACTTTAATAGTTGTATTTTTCCAGCTAATTTTGATTTTCATTATATTTAAAATATGGTGGAAAAAAAAATGAATACAAGATTCTCGAAGAAAATAAAATATATACTGTGAAATGTAAAATTTTAAACATGAATATTAAAAATAATCTGTATATGTATCTTTTGTCAAAAAAATGAAATTGAAAAAGATGCAAGATTCTTTCATAATAAAGGATCTTAGATACAGATACTAGTATCTTATTATAAATGTCAGATAGATACTGAGTACAAAATAATAAGGCTTGTATCTTAGATACAAG